TAGATCAAAAATACAGTAAAAACAGTAATACTGTGAAATATTAAATTTGAAATAATGTACTTTTTCAGGGTTCTTTGATAAATAGAGTTCAAACATTATTACAGATTTTTCTGTCAATTTAAGACGTCCTTACGGAATAAAAGTAAAGTCAATTTCTTAAAAATAAAATCTTACTGACCCCAAAACTTTTGAATGACAGTGTAAATCAACCAATATTTCAAACAAGCTAAATTGACTTGAGACAAAACATTGCATAAAATCTTAAGGCTTGTTTAAGTGTACACTATTTATAGTTAAAAAGTGTTGCTTCTCAAGTAACATTATTTGTTCATATTTTAATTGGAAAATTAGACGAATACATACTTATTTTGAATTTAATATGAAATATTATTATAGTGAAAATAAGTTGTTTGAAATACTTGTTCTATGAATCTCCAATGATTGGTGTGGTTATATGAAGATTCTTCAAAAATTCTCAGAGTGTGTTCAAACAGGGTTCCGGTACGACATCAGGGGGAGTAAATGATGACTATTCCTTAAAGAACAGAGAGACAAGCGGATAGAAACACCAGACGAGAGACTAAATGATGAAGAAGATATTGACATGGGACAAAGAGACAGGATAGAGTGAAAAATGAGCAAGAGAACGAAGAGCGGATGAAAATGGCGTCTCTTGGGATGCCCAGTCTGAGTATTAGGCATCAGGATTGTCTGGACCCTCCCAAAAGCATTTTAAAAATAGACCTGTGCGGAGATGGCAAGCAAAAGAGACAGAGCGCCGGAGAGAATCGAGGTCAAACCGCAGAAAGAAAATTAATTATGAATCCGTCCACATTAGTGTGGAGGATTATTGAGAACAAACACAGAGAAATGGGAATGGAGAAAGAAAGGAGAGACGGGTTTGAAAGGAGGCTTGAAGGAGAATGTGATATAAGACCACCAAGGATAGCTTTTAAAAATGCATATCAATTTCTTTTTTTTAATTGACATAAATACAGATGAAATGTGTGTAATTTCTTGCAGAACTACAAAAATAATGACTATTTTCAAACAGGTTTCCCTCGCGCCATTGGTTGAGCCAATGTTGCTGTGTCGGACAGTTTAAGTTACAACAACAGCCACATCAAATTTGCCCTATTTCAACTTCTATGTGGCATTACATCTTCACATAGAATGTAAAACACCTGATGTCGGCAGATGTACAGAGCAGGGTGGTTACGTTGGGCTCAAATAAGCACCCCTTTCTCCTCTTTGGCCCAAGTGACCTTTTTTTCTTGCAGAAGGAAAACACTTTTTTCACCACCATCTGTTTCAAAATGGATCTCTTGTTACAAAAATTTGACCTAATTAATCTCATCCAAGCACAAGCGGCTACCTTCTGTTTGCTGAAAGAACATGAAAAAGCTACGATAAGCAAATACGAGCTTCTTCACTTGTGTAGATAGCTGAAATTAAGTCCATTTTAACTGAGGAGTAAAAAAGAAAATAAGAGGCTTGGCAAAGGAGAAACATTATAAATGAGACAAGCACCTGCTTGCCAAGCACATGGCCATTTCTTTGACAGTATATGAATAATTAATAATATTATTAATATCATATATACTGTCAAAGTATATATACTTAACTTTGTGTGTATATATATATACTTGTAACTTTTACAACACCATTTTATCATATATATAAAAATATATATGTAGTATGATAGTATAGAATAATATCTACAAAGTATATACAGACTTTAACTTGTATATTTAAGACTAGTTTATTCAATCATAAAATACATCAAGTACACATTAGTCTTGTACTGTACCTTTGCATTTTTGCTTTAAATTGTATACAGTTTATTCATATTGGAGCTTGTTGGTTTTTTTAAGGCTTAGAATTATTTATGGAAGACTTTTTGGGGGGTAAAAGTAATCAGAAAAACATTTCCGGAAACCAAGGCTGATGAAAAAGTGTCCAGTCACTGCCGTGCTATTAGATGAAGGCCAGGCCTCCTATTTCAAGGGGTCACGAGGGTGAATATGACATGGAGCATCGGGCTCATCTCCTAAACACACATATACTGTTAGTAATGAATGTTTTTGGCCACATACATCTCAAATAGGAGCAGGAAAGCAGTGTGATTATATGTGTCTGTGTTGGCTTTGCTCCAGTGGAGCACTCTCACTATCAAAGCAGAGCTTCACTGTCCGGCTTAAAGGCTGTCTATCTTCATTACATAAAAGAGAGGTGCCTCCCGTCCACCGATCCCGTCCCATCACAGAGCCATGCCATTATCAGTCCAGATATCACAGAATAAAGCAAAACTCTTCATGTCTGTCATACATGTTCAGCTAATGTGAAAATTTCATTAGCGTCTTCAAAGCCATCACAAGCAACACAGATAAATTTGATCAATTCTGAAAGCCAGATATCTTTGACTTTAAAGAGAGTGCAAGCTGAATATAAAATGAGCAAATTGCACTGAAAAATGTCTGCACTGAACTTCTTAACATTATTTTAATACGGCAGTATATACATTCACCTAAAGGATTATTAGGAACACCTGTTCAATTTCTCATTAATGCAATTATCTAATCAACCAATCCCATGGCAGTTGCTTCAATGCATTTAGGGGTGTGGTCCTGGTCAAGACAATATCCTGAACTCCAAACTGAATGTCAGAATGGGAAAGAAAGGTGATTTAAGCAATTTTGAGCAAGACATGGTTGTTAGTGCCAGACGGGCCGGTCTGAGTATTTCACAATCTGCTCAGTTACTGGGATTTTCACGCACAACCATTTCTAGGGTTTACAAAGAATGGTGTGAAAAGGGAAAAACATCCAGTATGCGGCAGTCCTGTGGGCGAAAATGCCTTGTTGATGCTAGAGGTCAGAGGAGAATGGGCCGACTGATTCAAGCTGATAGAAGAGCGACTTTGACTGAAATAATCACTCGTTACAACCGAGGTATGCAGCAAAGCATTTGTGAAGCCACAACACGCACAACCTTGAGGCGGATGGGCTACAACAGCAGAAGACCCCACTGGGTACCACTCATCTCCACTACAAATAGGAAAAAGAGGCTACAATTTGCAAGAGCTCACCAAAATTGGACAGTTGAAGACTGGAAAAATGTTGCCTGGTCTGATGCGTCTCGATTTCTGTTGAGACATTCAGATGGTAGAGTCAGAATTTGGCGTAAACAGAATGAGAACATGGATCCATCATGCCTTGTTACCACTGTGCAGGCTGGTGGTGGTGGTGTAATGGTGTGGGGGATGTTTTCTTGGCACACTTTAGGCCCCTTAGTGCCAATTGGGCATCGTTTAAATGCCACGGCCTACCTGAGCATTGTTTCTGACCATGTCCATCCCTTTATGGCCACCATGTACCCATCCTCTGATGGCTACTTCCAGCAGGATAATGCACCATGTCACAAAGCTCGAATCATTTCAAATTGGTTTCTTGAACATGACAATGAGTTCACTGTACTAAAATGGCCCCCACAGTCACTAGATCTCAACCCAATAGAGCATCTTTGGGATGTGGTGGAACGGGAGCTTCGTGCCCTGGATGTGCATCCCACAAATCTCCATCAACTGCAAGATGCTATCCTATCAATATGGGCCAACATTTCTAAAGAATGCTTTCAGCACCTTGTTGAATCAATGCCAAGTATAATTAAGGCAGTTTTGAAGGCGAAAGGGGGTCAAACACAGTATTAGTATGGTGTTCCTAATAATCCTTTAGGTGAGTGTATATTCTATCCAGAAAAATATGTGGCCGACAAAACACATCACTCATTAAACGGTATACATAAACCGGTAACGCTTTAGATTACAGCCCGGAAAGTACTGGGTAATTAAAGCGATTTTACAGCGTAATCTTCGGTAATTATAGTGTACCTATAACGTACTTACAATATAAGTATAAGGGAACAATATTTTAAGTTTGGGGAATAAAGGGGTAACATATACAAATATTTATACTGTATACTGTAAGTATTATAGAACTAAGGGGTACCTATTCTACTTTTATGATACAACAAACTTACATTTGGGAGCAATTTAGCGAGAACATACCTTTTTGAAATAATGGTGAACCAGTACATACTGTATAGGCTTTTTAGAAATTACTGGGCACATATTTATGCATTTATAAAGTAATCTTTTTAACAAAAGTGCACTGAAAATGAAACTATTGGAACTTTTGCTTAAATATTGGGGAAAGATACTCTTTTTTCATGTAGTGGTGCTTGTTACCCTCTTGTTTCATGTAGTTACAGGGTAAGTGTGACATTGCGGGCTGTAAATTAAAGTGGTGCTTGTTACCCTCTTGTTCAATGTAGTTACAGGGTAAGTAAAGTAAAAATGCATACACAATCTTATATCACTGACTCGGAAACCTTTATTTATTATACAAGCACCACTTACCCTGTAACCACATGAAACCAGATATATTTCCCAGTATATTAAAAAAATTGCAATAGTCTTAGCTTTTCTTGCATTGAAACATGTTAGCCCAAACATCTGCACTTTTGCTATCAAAAAAATATATATGTTATTATAATATATATATATATATATATTTTTTTTTTATAAATGCATAGATATGTACCCTATCATATTTAAAAAGCCTATACAGTATGTTTTGGCTTGGTACACAATTATTACAAAAAGGTACGCAGTGTATGTTCTCGCTAAATTGCTCCCAAATGTAAGATTGTTGTATCATAATAGTAGAATAAGTACCCCTTAGTTCTATAATACTTACAGTATAAATATTTGTTTATCTCTCCTGGTTGTTACCCCTTTATTCCCCAAACTTTACATATTGTTCCCTTATACTTACATGTAAGTACTTTATAGGTACACTATAATCACAGAAAGTTACACTGTAAATTCCTCTTCATTACACAGTACTTTCCGGGCTGTAATCTAAAGCGTTACCCATAAACCTTTAAATAAAATGAGTACAAATGTTTACAGTAACACTGCCCTGTTTTCTTCCCTTTAGTCTGAACTACAGTGGAATGTGTTTGGCATCAGATGCTCAGTTTAGTGACTTTCTGGATGGGATGGGACCGGCTCAGTTTGTGGGGAGACAGACACTAGCTACAACTTCATTGGGTGAGTGCATTTATACACCAGACAATAGATGCTACCCCACTTCTTAATGTACTACAGGTACATCGAAAATGTGCCCTTTTCCTCAATGCAAAAATCGACAAATGTTTGGTAATTGTCAGAGCTTCTTGTCAAAAGGCTGTTTGTTAAACAAAATATTCAATTAAATACTTGGAAATTAGGATGCATAAAAATAAACATGCTTTTCCATCTTGATGCTTCTAAGAAATGATAATGAAAAAAACAATTCAATAAACCTCTGACAAAAAAAGTTTATTAAAAAAGCTCAATCTGAAATTGAAACAGAATGTAATATCGATCGAGCAGGATGTAATTACAAGTCAAGAAATGGTCAATGAAAGCTAACCAATGCTTATTTCGTTCTCACATGTGATGTAAAATTATAGAAATCAATTATGATTACCGATTTTGTTGGGAGTAGTGTAAATAATAAGAAAACGTGTTCTTTGGGTGTGTGCTGAGCATCTGTTACTACATAGCAGCCATTTAGCAACCAAAATGCTGTATCGACCAATCAGCATCCAAGACTGGAACTATCAGTTTATAATCAATAAATAAGATTGCAAGAGATTTTTTTTGTAATTGTCAGTAAAATATTTAAATAGCTAAGATCAACACAATGCTATTGAAAAAGGAAGAAATCAAGTCAGTTTACCTGTATTCCCCCACATATCACTTGACACTGTTTAATGTGTGTATTGATGTTTTGCAGGAGATGTAGAGATCGGACTGATGGAGAGGAACGGGCAGCTGGAGGTGGAGATCATTCAGGCTCGAGGACTCATCATGAAGCCTGGATCTAAGGGCCCTCCAGGTGATTCTTCATCAGACAGAGCCTGACGTACTGAGCGATGAGTCTGATAAAACCAATAGAGTCGTTTAGCCAGAGGACAAAACTGACTGGAAATCTTTATAAATTGGTTCTCAAATACACAAGTTTCTCTAAGATCCAAACTGTGATTGTTCTATTCTTATTTGAGCATTCATTATCCAGAAGTGTGTGTGTGTGTGTTGAAAAAAAGAAGGGAAATTGAAAAGAGTCTAAATTGGTGGCTCGGGTATTCAAAGTGATTTGCAGTGTCTTCCAGATTTCAAGGATGCAGTCTGAACTATTATATCTTTTGTTTCCTCCCTCCTTTTCAGCGGCCTACATCAAAGTGTATCTTCTGGAAAATGGCATCTGCGTTGCCAAAAAGAAGACAAAGTCTGTTCGGAAATCACTAGATCCCCTTTACAATCAAGTCCTTGTTTTTTCAGAGAGCCCGCAGGGAAAGGTTGTACAGGTAAACAAGATTTCTACCTTTTCAGAAGAATGAATTAAGGTTGCTTGTGCAAAACCGACCGCAATAATACTATGCTTCGTCATAGGGTTTTTTAGAAAAGTAATATTTAGGGTTAGGGGATGTTCAAATCTCAAACTCTTAGTATGAGCAATAGAAGTAGTGTTACTTACCTTATAGAACTGCAAAATGAAACCAGCAAACTAACCCTAGAACACTGGAATTTCTTAATGCATTGAACATTAGGGTGTCAAGCACCATTTAAATGACAAAGCAAGCAGCAATTATAGCCTCTAATTTACAGCAAAGTTTACCCACGTCTTTTCCAATTTGGTGTAATTTCTTTCTCTGTAGGTGACGTCATCAGTGAATGTTTTTTCTTTGCCAGTTCTCTTCCCAGTGATGGAGAGAATGTATAAGAAATGATCAATGTAGGGAATGCTTTATTTTTAGCAGTGGAGAAGGAGTAGGGGGAATTATACATTTTTCCAAGGACAACATTTATGAAAGCCTGTGTCACAGCTAACACTTAAGGCTAGAACAGACTGCAGGATGTGCAGGAACATCGTGTGGAGGGAAAAACAACATGTTTATTCACTGATGTATGGCGTCCTCTCTGTTATTATGCAATGAATCTAAGGGAACTTTCAGATTGATGTAGGCCATGCACTTGCTTCCCTTTTTTGAGATTATTCTTGAAAAATGTTCACACATTCATTATCATATTTGGGAATTCAGTTATTCAGTTTTGTGCTATTGAAGATGAATGACTTACAAAACCTATTAAAAACATTATATTACACCACAAAAATCTAAAGAAAGAACTAAGAAATCCTGTTTTGCTTAAAGAAAATGTAGCCTACTTTAAGGAACTTTTGCGATTATTAAATTATTTTCACGACAATGAAGCAATTTTTATAAAAAAAAAAAATCTTAATGCTCCTAAAACATGCTTTATTTTCTTTATGCGAAATATAATTACTTTTAATTTCGGGGTGACCTGGACATCTATCAACAAATCTTGATGCATTTAAAATCGAGAATTTTTAATTTATTAGGATTATATACATTTCAAGTTTATGAATTACAAAGATTATATACATTTCAAATTGCGAGATTTACCCAGATTAATGGAACTAACAAAGAAAAATCATTGTGAATTATGATTAATTAAAAATCGAGAATTATGAAATTATCGATTATATTTAAATGTTAAATTAACAATATTATAGTCAAAAGTACTGTTGATTGTTCCATATGATAAATAATACTTCCATCTCTCATGAACAGGTCATTGTTTGGGGGAACTACGGCCGGATGGATCGTAAATGCTTCATGGGTGTGGCACGCATCCTATTGGAGGAGCTGGATTTGACAAACATGGTGATTGGCTGGTACAAGCTTTTCCCCACCTCTTCTATGGTGGATCCCACAATGGCGCCGCTGATCCGACACTCCTCACAGCTCTCTCTGGAGAGCACCGTGGGCCCGTGCTGTGAACGCTCCTAAGACCAACAACTCCACTAGATTTATTTTTCTCTGGAAGGGCTCTCACAGCCCCTGCCCTAAAAGTGCTGGTTGTGCATGACTGCGGCACTGGAACCCTCTGGAATGTTCTAGAATTCCTTCAGAACTAATAGCCTTTCTGGAATATTCCAGAATCCACCACAGAGGAAATGCTCTATTTCAGCCTCTGAGAAAAAGACTTCAGGACGGTCAAAGAATGCAGAGCAAACGTCTGGGCTTTATTTTAGCTTTCAACACATTAGCTTGTGATGGTCCGTACGTCTTTCAGAGGAAATGTCCTCAATTTTGAATTGATTTCCAGAAAACAGGCCAATGTTTGTGGGTGCTGCAATGGATTGATTCCTATTAGATGAAACGGATGGGTTTGTGCAATATGACATCCAATAGAAAGAAGAATGTACCGGTAAAAAAAGTGCGGGTTTGCATTCATTATCTTGCGTAATTAACAATACAGGAATAGATACATGTCTTAAAAAGATCCAATACGTGTAGTTTGAAAAGAGTCGTTTTTGCTTCATGATTTGGTTTGCACACGGATCTTTTTCTGTTCGTGTCTCTTCTGTCTCGTCTTTCTCATTACTGAACAGTGCCAATGTTGCCAGCGAGTGGCTTTATTTGTGGTTATCTGTGTCTATATTCAGTGACTAGATGCTTTGTGAATCAATGATCTAGGCAGACACAAATTTAAAAAGACAGATGCTAATTGTCCACAATATTTTCCCGAGGTAACAGTGACATATTCCAGTTGAGGAATATTCGATGTCACTGTACATTTTTCCACACTAGGCCTAATAGTATGGGTGCAAGACACTTAAGTAACATAGGATTATAGAGTGCTTATTGAATAAATGTCAGTAAATTATATACTTACAGTTATAACTGCAGTAGCGACCAAGAGGTTTTTAATGGCTGATATCTACAGAGCAGGGTGATAGAAAGCAGACATGATATGCACATACTGTATATAATACAATTGTATAATAACAAATGGCAAATATTTGGAAAAAAAAAATGTACAACAAAACTGACACTATGCGGAATGACCAATTCTGTAAATCGGCCAATCGGACAAAAAAATTGCCAAATTTCAGTCAAATTAATCGGTCTGGGACGCGTTTCCCGTACAACGACAGAACTAGCTAGTCAAGACTCTTTCCCGAAACCGTATTGTCGCAAATTTGCCATTTAAATGATGTCACGCACGTGGTGGAGTAATAACATCTTTTAATGAATCCGTTGGAGATCAAATTAATGCTAGATGTTTTGCTATGAATTAAAGACATGGCATCTGAGGACTAATTCTACGGAAGCGTATTGCATTCACTTGAGGAAAAAAAATCTACTCTGTTTTTCTGAATTAACGAGTTAATTATCTCAGAATTACGAGATATTTTTTCATGAAAAAAAAGTTTTTGCTCTGTTTTTCTGAATTAACGAGTTAATATCTCAGAATTATGAGATACATTTTTCTTGAAAAACATTTTTTTCACTCTGTTTTTATGAATGAATGAGTTACTCATCATTTTGAGATAATTAAGTCATTAATTCAGAAAAACAGAGCAAAAACTTTTTTCCTTGAAAAATGATCTCGTAATTCTGAGATAATTAACTTGTTAATTCAGAAAAACAGAGTAGATTTTTTTTTCCTCAAGTGAATGCAATACGCTTCCGTATAATTCTCATCTTTCTCAGTTATTTTGCTTTACGTCCAGATTCAATCATAGGCTCGTTCTTACGTACTAGGGCATGTACGCACATGCACACTCTCCAAAAACGGTGCTTTAAAACTCTCGACAAACTAAAAGACGTAAATGACATTTGTATGTATTCTAAATAAAAGATACAGATTGTACTGAATGTCAGCATACTCTGCTTCTAACCACAGATCGAGAGCTGTCGCTCCAACCACACAATCTCGCGATGCTGTTTGCGAATGTTCGTGGGAACGATGGTTTCGGGAAACACCGACTCGTTGAACTATGCTGATAACAACGAAACTTGCAACCATAGTTGGCTAACGATGCTTTCGGGAAACTCACCCCTGGCCGATCGACGTTTAACAGTCTATCACAAATTATAAAAAGATAATTTCTTTTTGCACTTTATAATCTTAAATGTCTTTCTTACAAGCAATCGCTAGTTCGCTATAAGCCATTTTCTTCTTTAGCCTATATTATTTGTGACTTCAGGATGCAGAATCTTTAGTAGCAATGATAAGGTTGTAGCCTTAGATAGTAGCATACGCATGAAAGGCATCTTAGTTTGCCACGATCTAATGAGATTTTGCATGGAATTGGATTATAGAGCGTTTTCGCTGGCAGTCGAGCAAACATGTAGCAGCGAATGATCAAACAAATACTGTTACACTGCACTATTATCAAATAATACTGATACAATTTCTTTTCATATGTCCTGAAATGATGAAAAGCAAAACATTTATAGGCCTACATGCTAGCACAGAAAACTAAAGGGAAGAAAACAGCATTCTGCATAGAGAAGAATTTTTATGTCCAGCATAAATAGGACTTTTTGTGAAGAACATACACAATTTACCACGAGACAAAAGGATTTTTTAAAAAGATTTATTCCTCTCTGAGAATCTCGGGAGTGATTATTTCAATTACCGCTGAAAAACATACCTCAAACACCCTCAACATAATCATGTTGTTAAGGCCATATACAAGCACTGCCACATTCTTTTTGAAGAATTAAATGTTCATTGTCTTAAAAAGCAATAACTAAATCAATTTTTGCTCACTTTGTTTGTTACAGGGAGTAAAGCCAGATTTTCTCTGCATTACATTAGAAACTTCTGCATCCATGTAGCAATATAGAAAATGCTCAATTTTAGACGAAGCGCTGAATGTCTGAGATCCTCAAGAATTTAGTGCCAAAAAATGTGTATTTCAAAGATGTCTTGATGATGGGCTAAAAGAAATGAATATTTTGGAAAAAATAAAAACGCTTAAAAATTGAGCAATGTAGTGATTAGCACTATAACATGGTACACTATGTAACTTTTGGGCCTTTACTGGTTAAAAAAACAAAACTGCATGCTTTTTGTGGAAGAACATTGTTTTGGTTGTGCTTCGGCTCTGCATGACTGTGCGGATGAATATGGTTATCCTACTGTTCATAGGACGGTCACTACTAGGTGTAAAAGAGATATAACCAGTTTAGATGGAAAGTATCTCAAGCTGACTAGCTGAAGACTGTGGCTTTACCCATTAATTATTTACGCTACTTCCTTAAAAAATAAAATTCCAGCACAGCGCTACAACAACCATAATGAAATTTTCACAATAGATAACTACAATGAACTCTGTTAGAGAGCTACATATGACAATTTATCTGTTCACTAAAATACCTTACTCACATGTTGAGTAATAAACATGCCATCTCCGCGTCGCTTTTACAACATTTCAGATCCCTCAGTTCTCGCCATCTCCACAAGCCAAGTCAGTGTTGATTCTGGTTTTATCATGAGCTCTGTCGCGTTTTATCACGCGCTCTGCCGCGTTTTATCACGCGCTCTGCCACGTTTTATCACGCGCTCGGTCGCGTTCTCCTTTCGCCAGCAGACTCTCCTCTGTTCGGCGTTTGTTTAAAACGGGTGATTCCCTGGAGGTTCGAGATTTAGCTGCTCCATGTAAACCTTCTTCTTCTGTTGTTTAAATGGCGGTTGGCAAATCTCAACCTTTCTCGCTTGTTTGGACAACTAACCTATGCCACTCACACCAGACACGCATCAAAGTAGGCGAAGCAAGTTTTCTTACGGATATGACGAGACACACACGGGTGAGTGACATATGTAGCCTACGCGATTTCCATCGAAAACCTTCCCGCTAGATCTAAAATATTAATAGGCTAACTATAGTGAATCAGGGTAATACAAAAACATGTTCTTTTGAAAGACGCATGATGTATTGATTCATTATGATATAAATTTTGTTGATTTTTAACAACAAAAAGTTACATAGTGTACTTTTAATATAAACCATACATACCATATATATTGATATGCATCCATTTAATATAGCAAAAAACGACATGTTTCATTTTATTGTCTGTTTATTGTAAATAGACACCTTGGATTTAGTGGGCAAAACAGTTAATCAAAGGATGTCAATATTGACAGTTTAGTTTTCTAGGCTGTAATACCTTGGAAACACACTTCTCCTGTTTCTATCAGCATGATGGTCTTGCTGATACTGTAAACTGGATTGGAAATATTTACATAATAGCTTTTAAACTGCAAATACACTCCAGATGTTTAAAAGAATGTGATTTATAGAGTATACAAATTAATTATCTCCATTTTACATGTTGAATTAATAGGAATACTTTTTGTAAAGCCTTAACTTGTAAACCAGAGGTCTTAACACAATTCAATTGTACGGAGGAGAAACGAGCATGCAAGAATGTCATTCTGTTTTTATGTGTATTGCAACTCTAATTTTCTGTCTTTCTTTTTGTAATTCATTTTATTTGAATCTGGTAAATAGTCACGGCCTTTCGTCATCGCATTTTTCACCACATATTTTTGTTACTAATTAACGATATACCATATCAAATATACTTGAAGTTGATGTGGCAAAATAATCGACATATTCCTAAATTGGATGCTGTGATATTTTTCTTTGTGGAGATACTTGTTTATTCCTTATTATTATTTATTATATGTAAAATAATGAATTTGAATTCGTAATAATGTCACTGTTAATTAATGCACAATTTAGTGTATTGTTACTCTGTTGCAAATGGTTATAAAGAATAAATAGCTCACTCTGATTTACAAAACATGCGTGCGTCTGATGACTGAGCTCCCTGAAGCACTGTGGTTTAGAGAAGACTTATTTTGAAAACATCTGATAACCTTTGACAACTGACAGATAAAGATGAGCTTATTGAGCACGTCAGAGAGAATCAGATATTTCTGACTGCTCGAGTGTTATAGTTACCCAGTCTGTCTGTTTCACTCAAGTCTTTATCAGGAGACGAAATGGCTTTTTAAGAGTTAGATCAAGGAAAATTAGATCAAGCATTCTTGATTTGGGAATTGAGCTGGATGTTGGTATTTAGAGGATACGGCTGTTTCATTATTCTCTCTCTCTCTCTCTCTCTCTCTCTCTCTCTCTCTCTCTCTCTCTCTCTCTCTCTCTCTCTCTCTCTCTCTCTCTCTCTCTCTGTGTGTGTGTTTAGACACTATTTGTCACTAACAAAGGGACAAATGAATAATCTCGTCCCTGTTTGATGTAATTACAAAGGGTTCATTTATACACATCCCACACACACACGTCCCCACAAGGACAGGATTTTCAATTATTGCCATCATTGTGGAGCATTTTGTCCCCATAACTTGGGGAATATCTGAAACACACACACACACGCACACACTCTATTGCATGTCCTCATTAGATTTAGCTAACTGAAATTACAAAAGACTAACTTAAATCTCAACCCTAGACCGAAAATATTTTTTTCACATTTTTATAATAAAAATAATATTCATTATTGTTGTTAATATTATATAATTATAATAAACATTATAAATCCTATATATTAATCCAATATATTAATAAAAAAAAAAATATATATATATATATATTAATCTTGTTTATTAATACATTATTTTTAATTAATATAGCATATTAATATATTTAAATTATATATATATATATATATATTTAGGGGATATTGCTGTTTCATTATTTAGTGTGTGTGTGTGTTTGTCACTAACAAAGGGACAGATGAATAATCTATAAATATTACAACTTATTTGAAGCATGAAGTAAACACAAAAATATGTACAAATATTTAAGCCAATTCAAATAATGAAAAAATAGACATCCTCTCATAAGGTCAATGTTTTTCTGTGGTTTTATTTCATCCTTAACTGACAGAATAATAATTCCACATCAAATACATTTTTTTCTATACTGCATAATCAAATATTTATAACAAATCCTTCTGTAAGAAGACAATCATGCTTTCATTTTGAAAGAGGTTATTAATATAGGTGACAAACAGTGGACAATAAAACAACAGTTGTGTTTGAAAATAGACGAATGAACAAAATATTCAGATGGGAATTAATAATTGTGCAAAAACTTAAAAGAAACCTTAACTCTGCTCTCACCGGGCCAACATGATTTGTCTGAAACATGAGATTATTTCCAAAACACGTCTGGATGTCAAGGCTGGTGTGCTGAGCATTCAGAGGATGTCATATGTGTGAGGAGACAGAAGAACCGCCCATTCTCTTGTGTAAAACCTTCACCGTCTCACCTCTAAAACTAAACCCTGACGCCTCATGCACCAAAAGATCTCGGAGAGTTCATCAGATTTCTGGAACGTTCTCAAGGCTCTGCAATTTCACCCTGCTTAATAAAATTATTAATAGTGTAAGAGAGACTAATTTGAAACTAGATAGCTTCTTAAGTAGTTCAACTACACTCAAGCTATCCTTTTGAAAGTAGTTTTTATCTGGTGCAAACAAAAAAAATTGCATCAAAACAATCTTTGTTTGAATTTGCGCAGCTTTTGCAATGCGTAAAAAAAACGGCAATGTACATTTTGGCATGCTACAGCATTACTTGTTTTTAGTGGAAAAGCTACAGTATTTTGAAAAGAATTGAGCTGGGGAAAAAATCAGTTACTATTAGTTAGTTACTCCCCAACTTTCCAGAACATTAAACCAGTAACGTGATTATAACATCATCATCCTGGCCCTTCCAGAGCATCTCGCCCTCAAAGTCCACCATCTTGTGTTTGCGACAGCGCAACAAAATTCCCACGACTTTATCAGAGATTTTAACGTATCGGTCAAACAGGCGGCCGAAGGAGATGCAGCGAAGTCCCTCCTCATCGCTTTGGCCCATGTCGCGAATGATAAAGCACATCTCATCCATCTCCCGATAGATGTGTTTCTGGGCTCGATCGGCACGCTGGGCTGTCTTGGATCCCTCTTTGGGCCGGCCGTATCCTGTGTCGCCCTTGTGGAGTCGAATAGCCATGGCATGCTCAAAGTCAAACTCTTCGCTGAAAGGGTTGAGCTTCTGACCCTCAATGTGTTCTTTAGCGAACTGCTGCCACCGGCTCTTCAGGTCATTCATCGTGGTTATTTTAATCTGAAAGGGCCAGAAATGGCAATGTTATTTAGAAACGCATAGTCAATGGTATGTTTTAAAGAATTATATACAAAAAAGAGAGGTGCTGCAAAATAAAATGGATGAGTTTGGATAATAAATGTCAATACTGAAAATGAAATGATAAAAAAAAGATGCAAATCTTTAATAATCTTTACTAATTTGCCTTGGATTTTTACGGCGTCCCTAAAAGGACATAGTTATGGAAATAAATATGAGATGGAAGGGAAAAATATGTCAATGCGTTTGCATTCTCTCACAAATGTTTTGCGTTCCCCGAGAAATGTTGTGTTCGCTCGCAAAACTTTTCATTTCACAAAGTTTCTCATGGGAACGAAAATGTTTTGTGAGCGAACGCAGAGATTATTTCAAGTTATTAATTTAAAGCAGAATTCCAAGGACAAACTTTTTTCATTATATTAATGTGCACAATAAGATCAGTAATGTTTCTGTGAGACGGAGCGGAACACGGACGAGCAAAGTATACTTGGGGTTTCAGGTGAGCGCCTAAACGGTAACATACACAAACATATGCCAAAATGTCCGTCTTGGCGAATATTTACATAAAGACAGTCAGTTATGTATTCTTAAGTGAATAAACATTTGACAAATAAATCGGTTGTGTGCCATTATATTACATCAATGCATTCAGTCTAACAGCCTGATGCAAAAACCTGCTGCTGTCTGTGTCAATAATGTTAAACAAAAGACAATTTCACTTGACTGAATACCTTTAGTAGTAATAATAATTATCAATGTATAATTAATTCATACAGTGAAGACTATGCAGTTGTAACCCCTCCACCCGGGTCCCACTCGACCCGCTCCGAGCGGGCCTCAAACCCAGGTCTCCGGCATGAGAGTCAGGCGCTCTAACAAGGAGGCTAAAGACTGCAGCCTCTAGCATCTGTCATCGCTAGAGAGCCTTTTGAGATCAGAGGAGTGAGGTTTACTCGCACAGCAACTACTAGCTGGCCTCCGTTACACTCACCCCCCTAAACCTCACTCCCATCCGGGTCACGGCACCAATGTAACCCCTCCACTCGGGTCCTTCTCACCCCCCTCTGAGCGGGTCTCCGGCGTGAGAGTCAGGCGCTCTAACAAGGAGGCTAAAGACTGCAGCCTCTATCATCTGTCGCATCTGGGGCGGCAGTGGCTCAGTGGTTCATGTAGGTTGTCTACAAACCAGAAGGTTGGTGGTTCAATCCCCGGTTCCACCTGACCAAGTGTCGAGGTGTCCATGAGCAAGACACCTAACCCCAGCTGCTCCCGACGAGCTGGATGGCGCCTTGCATGGCAGACACCGCCGTCGGTGAGTGAATGAGTGAGTGAATGGGTGAATGTGAGGCAAAATGTAAAGCGCTTTGGTGGCCATTGGGTCTATGAAAGCGCTATATAAATGCAGTCCATTTAGAGAGCCTTTTTAGATCAGAGGAGTGAGGTTTACTCGCACAGCAACTACTAGCTGGCCTCCGTTACACAGTGTTTTAAAGATTATCTCAGGGTTTAATGACTATTTTGACAACTGATTGTTTAATACAGAAAAGAATAGAAAAGTCTATATATTGTTCCAGTCTGGATATTCTCAACATATTAAAATTGGAAAGATTGCGATTCATATCGTGATTGTTTGTCATAAGAACGTGAAATGAAATTTTGGGAAGATCGGCCACCCCTAGTACATGCTGATTTCTTGTTGACTGTAAAACGCATCTGTTGACAATAATATATTATTCAGGTCTTGTGTGAGGTGTAGACACCTGGCTTGTCACCAGACAGTCACATAACACTACTGTGTGACATGCCTGAGCATTACTGCTAAATATTTGCCATGATATCTCCAAGGGCCACTTATTTCACAAGGGCGCCATTTGACCCGGTGCAAATGCGTCTTGTGAAACGCGAGATGGTGAATCAAATACCAGGGTGACACAGCTGTGATGGATCTCACTCATCAAGTTGAGGGAGAGCATGCTGCTTTTTGAAGGTCAGATGTAAATGATCCATCACTGTTTTTATTTACATATATTCCATTGCAGCAAAACATATCTGAGTTTATGATGGAACATTGTGCTGCTATGACGGTGTATATAGTCTGTGACTATTATTTACAGGCTGAATCTATAATGCCGAGTTAACTTGAATTGTTTTGATTAATGTCCCTGTTTGTTTCTTCAATTAATTATCATCAGCTATATCTTATTTAGTTCCTGATTATCCCCTGCATATAGTCTCTGTTCAGTTTAGTCATTGTCGATTATTGTTTGTGTTTATGTTTGTGTTTCCATTGTATTTCTGATTAAAGATTATTCTAGTTCATTCTCTTCGTCGTGCGATTTTTACAGCCACTGTTACACGTAGATATGTAAAATATCAATGTGAATCAAAAGTTATTTGCACTAAAGCTAAAATTGTGGGCGGGGTTATAGTGGTTATTTGCTTCTAACTGCCAAAACATACGCCATAATCATAGCTTGATTCACACAGATAAACCTACCTTGTGTCTGGTGACATGTTTCTTTGGTTCATTCTCATTCTGATCACTGGTGTCGCTCAGAGACGCTTCCTCCCCAAGACCACTGTCCTCTGCATCTAAACTGCTACTTCGGGATCCCACTGTCTTTTCCTCTTTCTGTCCGAGTGCCTTCGCAAAGGTTCCAGCTTTCCAACCACAGTATCGTCTCCTGGTGGGAGATTCGTTGCCAAGGAAGTTTTTGGTGTCCTCTGAGGTCAGCTGATTGGTGTTGATCTTGTCTTTGATGATGCTCACTTGGTCTTTTCCGTATTCGTTACATTTTGGTGTGATGGCTTTAGTCACGGATACAGTCTTGATCTGGTCATCCGCACAGTCTTCGCTGTTCACCGACACCACACGAGGAGTGACCAAGAGTTTCATCTCACTCTTCTCCTTCTGCTTTTCTTTCTCGTCCTCGATGATAGTGTCAGGCATCCAGCCGCTTGGGATCGTGTCTTGCTGGTCGGTGTGTTTATTCGCCCAGCTTTGCCAGCTTTTGGCAAGGCTGTTCACCGCCGAAGCCACCTTGATCTTTCTGACGGCTCTGCTTAAAGGCTGGTTTGGTTGAACGGCAGCCGTACTCATGGTTCTTCTTCTTGTGTTTACTGGTTTGGTAAGCTGTCGAGGTTGAAATCTCCGGGTTTATAATCCTTTTGGGCTCTACTGGTGGTCACCAGTCTTTTATATGAATGGGAAGAGGAAGTGTCCTCTGAGGTGGGTGGTGTGACATGCACACGGTGATCACCGTGACCCTAAACAGGCTAATGGAATTTCCCCAGAGGAATAACAGGTGGCCACGTTATGACCAACCAAAAACACTTCTGTCCAACTGTGCAACCATGCAAAAATCACTGACATCCCACCTGACAGTGTCTCTTGTTTTAGATGCACCCATGACCTCATCAAACACTAAAACTGCTCAAAGACACATAAAGATCCTGATGAAACGGCTACAAATGCATGCTCTTCTCCACTGCCATGGCATATTTTTGTACAACGTGCCAGCACTCAGTGTGATGATCTATTTTTGCAGACCGGGTGTTGAATTGTGCATGTGCGCGCTTCTGTTGATTGATACACAGGCCTGTTCTTAAACCGCAAGCCAAGCTATTTAAAGCAGGAGTCGTGCTGAGGGAAAACTTAGGATGAGCCTTGGATTTGCACATCCTCTGTTTCATTTATGCTGCTTCTCTGATAAAATGGTGATTAGGAGTATAAATCTGCTAGACATTTTCATAAGGTTAACCATTAAACAACTAGATTACTGCTGAACTACAGAAATAATGTGTAACGCAGTGGTTCATAACTGGTGTGCTCCAACTCAAAAAATGGGCAGCAGATCTGTTCTGATTAGGTCACGAAGAGCTCATTTTACATAATAACACGCAACTGGCCATATAATCATAGTTATGGTAAAATAGACAGGTTTTCCAATTGTTAAAACGGGTGGAGAAACACTTCCCATATAAAATGCATTTAATCAAACTTCATATTTTGCAGCAAATTCAACTGTTACTTGGTAAAAGTTATACAGATTGCTTGATCGTCAAATGAACAAAACGCAAGATTAAAAAAAAGATTGCTTGATCGTCAAATGAACAAAACTATGCAAGATTAAAAAAAAGACCCAGACTACATTAAATACATAGGTTCATCTGCAGGAAGGGTAAACAATGTTTGTAATCATTTTTATTTGAGAGATATTTAGAAAACAAAATTAAAAATGTTCAGTCTGGGTCATGTAGTGTTAATCATTTTGCATATACTGTTAGGCCCATGTGACGCGAAACCAGAAGAGAAAACCACTGAAATTGGTATCGCTGAGGGTTTGAATGAGTTTTTAAAAATTCCTAAGACAAAAGTTTGACCCAGACCCAGACCACACTGTTTTATACAACATGCTAATGTAAAAGCTGGTGAACTTCACAGTCAGGGGAAATAATGTGTAAACTGGTAGTTCTCAACTGGTGTGCTGCAAAGTTAACATTTTAAAGGATAAATATTCTAAAATCGATATTCCAGAGACAAAATAATAATTTGACATAGTTCATCGTAATACATTTCAATGTCTGAGTGTAAAGACATTTTTGTTTAGGGGTGAATTCAGCTTGAATATAGGAGACTTTTTCCCAGTCACTTCGATGGCAGAAAGTGTCCCATCAACCTTAATTCGCCCTACTTCTGCAGGATAATTTTGGTACTTTGTCACTATTTGTAAAATAAACAGCATAGTAAATTAAACAGATTTATTAACGTTTAAATATAAATGTCCATATTCATCGATATTCGAGAAACATTCACAAAGCACAGGTTTCTTATTTTGCATAGTTCATAATATTAATTGATTTCAATGACTGATTTGGAAGAAATGTTTCTGTACTTTAGTAAGATCATTTTTTCATTTGTAAAATGTAATGTAAAATCTTGGTTGTGAAGCAAAACCAGTTGAGAACCAGTTTAAGACTCATTTTGCACTGCCTGTTAACGTGAAAGCTGCTGAACTGCACACTGTAGACTAGTTGTGTTGTGCTACAGTAATAAAATGCAACAAGCCATTCAATCATGCATACTGTAGTTAGGATAGTACAATAAATTGGCTTAATAACAACAAAGTTTAAATAATGTCTCTAATATCGATATTCAAGAGATATTTACAAACCGAAATTGACATTTTCTTTTCTTATTCAGCCTGGGTCATTATAACTTTGCACAGCTCATGCATGGTAATAATAAAATGCATGGTCCCATAACTCAAAGTGATTCTAAACCTTAATTGCTCATGGATTATAAGAAATCTGTGTGCGATAAATTTCCTCCACATAAATGTCTTTGCCTGTTTTTAGCTCCCACACAAGATTCCTGAGTCTTGGGGACAAAAATAAAACAACTGTCATTTTGGGTGTTGTTCTCGTCTCTTCCTGCTTCCCCTGGCTTTTGGTGACTCACATACGGAGGAGGAGTGTACCGAGGAAAGAAACCGTCACTTATATCACCGCTAACACCACCAGCTGGATGCACTTACTGCCTCACAATGCAGCTCAACATACTCACATTAATGCTTATTAAAAGCTTCACTGACTCCTCAATGTAGCATCTCGTAATGTATCTATAAAATCAAGACATTCACAACCTCAGACAATTCATATTTAACTCACTCGGAGATGTAAATGGCTTTCCTTGGGAAGAAAATAACAAAGGAGATATATTGATATCTCAGTAATAGCTTTAATATTGCAACTGTTAATCTCAACAATAAGATTATATGAAGAACAAATGGAGACTTTTGTCTGTCTACTGTTTCAGAAGAGATTTCAACATCAAATCCAAAATATGTAAACCTCAATATGAACTCAAACATTTCTTATTGGGTTCTTTCAAGACCAAATGATCTGCAATCATCCTGAAATTTCGGAAATGTATTCGTTATTTAAAGAAAATCCCACAACTCACACATCTCATTTGTACCCTGCATTTACATATTGAAATGATACATAACTGAGAACTCTATTAAGACTCTGTTGTCCTAGACGTAAACAATTCACAGTGACTTAAATGATAAAGCTATTAGCATCGAAAAACACATTACAATAAATGGGCTTTATAATAAATACAACGAGCTGACATTCAACTCAATAACCTGAATGCATGTCTAATCTCACTTGGGCATTAGCACAAAGATTGAACTGCGTATAAAATCATTTCTTCTTTAACGCAGTCATCTCATTAACAGACCATGAGGAATGGGCTAATCAACACTGTGCTACACAATGACGCTAGCCCTGCACAGTAGTCAGTCTTTTCATTGACAGCACTACATGTCAGGGCAACTAGCTTTAGCTCACGCAGCAGTAGTGGTTTGACAGCTTGGGTATCGTTAGAAACCAGCTTGGATGAGACAATTAGTGTCCTCACACTCCTTGTAAACAAGCCAACCCTGCATTTTAGCACAGAGTTAGCACACAGCTGTATCGCTAATTGTCTCTGCTTATGCTAACCAGCAAAAACATGGTTGATTTTTGTAATATTTCATTCTAAATAATGCTTTGAATGTATAGGAAAGCCAAGTTTATTATTAGCCAAGGTTATTAATGTTCACACATTGTGGTTAGCCAATGCTAGCAAAAAAGTACCATGGTGTTATCACATGTTTTGGGACATGGTCTCATCATAAGAAATCCCTCAGGATAAATTTATGACTGCAGAACTTTATTTATTTTTTGGCCGATTTATTTATGACTGGACTCTATTAATAATGGGTTACCGGACCGGGTAGAAATAATATTAGAATGACATAAGCTATGGTTGAAGTCACTTTGTATTTCTGTCTTTGTTCTATTAACAGACAACCTGACCTACAAAATGTACCCTTGAACTATATATTCAATCACCACAATATGTTTACTCTGCTTTGTCAGCAGCTTTGGTATGACAAGCTTGTAGTGCTGTCACTAATATAGCGGCATTACTTTCTTTTACGCCAATTCTAATTTTATTTTTTTGGTATGACATAGATGAACTGAATATATCACAAGTCAGATTAATTCTAGTTTCACAAAAAAAAAAAAAGCATCACAGAGTACCATGGAATTACCAAGATTTTATGGGACATAGTACAACGTTAAAAAAATATTTTTATCATGATAATATCATGCTATTCTTTGAAGAACCATATAAATTTATGATAATATTTTAAACAAATTATTAAACACTCACTTTTATAACCACAAGATTGTCCAGAAATTATCATGGTTGTACTATTGGTACATGTCCCAAAAAAAAATATATATATATATATTTTGCAGGGCATGGTGTTTTGGATTTGTCAAATGGTAGGCTAATACTTTGGTATGAAATCATTTTATTTATCTTTATTTATCTTCACTTTTTAAGTTAAGTCAGCTGATCACTTTTTACAGTGTAATATTATAATGCAACTGTATGAACTACGTCACAGTCCAAAGTTGACATTATCATCTGATACGATTACTGTACCATGGAACATTTTGTAAGACTTGACGCTTGGAACTGCAGTTATTTTCATGAAAGAGCTTCAGCATTATCAGAGCGCTCTTGAAGCCGATGCCATTTTACCACATGGGCCACCTAATTTAGCCATCCAATGAGTCTGAATTAACAAACCAGAAGTACAAAGCTTACATAAGAGACTGTCACCAGGTACTGCAAAAGGTGTTAAACGACACCCAGACGTCCTCTCTCTCTCTATGTTAATAAGGGCTGGTGTGGTTTGTGAGTCATATCTGATTATGACTCAGATCAGATACTCAAACTGTCCTCAGACACTCTCAGCACGCAGTAGCACCTGCTCAAGATGCCCATGCTCGAAAATAAACCCTGTCTCTCCACTTTTCCTTCTCACCTCCCCATCTTCCCCCCTCTCTTTTTGAATCTTGATTCCCTTTTCTGTCAACTGCTTTCCTGCTTTTCTTTCTCCCGTTCTTACTCATATCAATAGATGCAATCAGTTCTGCTTCGGGAGCGTGTCGCGACCCCCGACCGCATGCACACAGAAGTCACTGATTGTGCTTTGTTGAACACGTCTGATGAGATCTGACAGATTAACACGCGTGCGATTTTTCTTTTACAAACAGATTTCGCCTTTCACAACCATTTCTTCATGTGCAAAACTAAACAAATTATCTTCT